CCTCAACCCAAGTACAACACTCGGAAACTGAAGGATGAAACTACAAAGGAGATCTTCAAGGCAGCCATCAAGACAAAATGGGAGACACCGAGCAACATCCCTGAAGAAACCTGTGTGGAAGAACACTGGAAGTCTTTGAAAGAGATGTGGAAAGAAACCTGCACAACAGTATTAGGAAGGAAGAAGAAAGAAGACAAGGAATGGATCTCGACGGATACCTGGAAGCTGATAGAGGAGAGAAGGATGGTGAAGCAGAAGATAAACCAGTGCAAGGATGCTCAACGACAAGAGGAACTGAGCACAATGTATAAAACACTGGACAAAGAAGAGAAGAAGAGTGCACGCAAAGACAAAAGACACTTCTACGAAACACTGGCAAGTGAAGCAGAACAGGCTGCAGGTAAGAGAGACCTGACGACATTGTATCAAATAACCAGGTTGCTATCAGGGAAGAGACCAACACAGATGAAACCAATAAAAGATGAAGAAGGAAATTTAATTACAAAAGAAGAGAAACAGAGGAAACGATGGGCCGACCACTTCAAGAAGCTCTTGAATCGACCACCACCTGCACTTCGTTCAGAAATACCACCTGCAGCCGCTGAATTACAAGTGAACATTAATCCCCCAACGAAAATGGAAGTCCTGAACGCCATAAAGCTACTGAAATGTGGGAAAGCAGCAGGACCAGATGGGATACCGCCAGAAGCACTGAAAACACACACAGAGACAACAGCAGCAGACATGCGCACACCACACCACTATTGCAGAAGGTGTGGAAGGAAGAGAAGGTACCTGGCCGATTGGAAGAAGGGTTACCTTGTCAAACTGCCGAAGAAGGGAGACCTCAGTGTTTGCAAGAACTGGCGCGGAATCACTCTCCTGTCCACCCAGACGAGCAAAATATTAAGCCGCATCATCCTGGAGAGGTTAAGGATGCACTGGATTCAAAACTACGACCGGAACAGGCAGGCTTCAGGAAGTACAAATCATGTGCAGACCAAATTGCAACACTTCGTATCATCATAGAACAGAGCATAGAATGGCAATCACCTCTCCACCTCAACTTCATCGACTTTGAGAAGGCCTTTGACAGCGTCGACCGAGAAGTAATTTGGAAACTGCTTCAATACTACGGAATACCGCAAACCTTTATCAGCCTCATTCAACAACTATATGAAGATGCCACATCAGCCAAGTAATTCACAATGGGAAGCTCAGTGATGCCTTTGAAGTGAAGACAGGAGTGAAACAAGGTTGCCTACTATCCCCCATGATATTCCTGATTTTGGTGGACTGGATCATGCAGCAAACAGTGGGGAGCGTGAGAAGAGGGTGATACGCTGGACTGCGGAAAAGAACCTAGAAGACTTGGATTTCGCCGATGACTTATGCCTAATGTCACATAAACTTGAAGATCTGCAGGCAAAAACTAACAAGTTGATAGAAGAGGCAGCTAAGACGGGACTTCAGGTGAATATAGAGAAGACAGAAGTGATGAAGATACCGCACCACCACCATCAACAACAACAACAAACTCCAGTCACCATCAACGGGAGAAACTTAAAGGAAGTAACCTCCTTCACTTATCTAGGAAGCACTGTTTCAACTACAGGCGGGACGGACGAGGACGTCAAAGTCAGAATTGGAAAAGCAAGACAGGCGTTCATTAGCCTGAAACCAGTGTGGAGATCTTCTGCACTCAGCATGCGGAACAAGATACGGATTTTCAACACCAACGTCAAGTCAGTGCTCTTGTATGGCTCAGAGACTTGGCGCGTCACGAAAGGCATTTCCAATAAACTACAGACATTCATCAACAACTGCTTACGCTCGCTACTGAAGATCAGATGGCCAGAATAAGAAGAATAAGCAACAAGGAACTCTGGGAGCGAACCAACCAAGAACCTATCACGCAACAAATATGCAGGAAGAAGTGGAGATGGATTGGCCATGCACTGAGAAGGCCGACTGAGGACATCACGCGTCAGGCCAGTTGCTCGAGTGGAATCCCATGGGAAGCGACGAGTTGGACGTCCCAGAGGGTGACATGGAGGAGGTCGTGCGAGGAGGAAATGAGAGCTTCTGGGCTGTCGTGGGACCAGGTTCAAAAGATCTCAGAGAACAGAGGTCGCTGGAGGCGTGCTACTGAAGCCCTATGTTCCACTAGGAACCCAAGGGAATAATAATAATAATAATAATATAAATTATGAACGCTGGATTCAAAAGTGATGCGTCAGCAGAGATCCTGAAGAATCGGCTGTCCAGATTGCTGAAGTAGACATTCTTCGCTGGGAAATTACAAATCAGCTTCTCCAGTGAGTAGTTTGCTCCAGAGTGAGTTAAGGACAAGTTGCCGCTTTGGGCCACCTCAGTGTTTGTTTACAAATTTACTTGCTCCTGTGGAGATAGTTATATTGGCCACCCAAAGCACGTACTTTAAAACGTAGCTCTGAGCGCTATTCTGCATGGCTGTCAAGGGGATAATGTAAATCGACTAACAGTTCAATTCTTGGACATTTGGTCAACTCTGGACAGAGAGCTCGATTAGAGTCCTCCCTCACTGCCATTTTTAGAGTCAAATGGAATAGTTTATAAGGAGTACGCCTTCTACAGTTGTGTATAGAAGAAGCACTGGCAATTCATCAGTCCAAACCTGATCTCTGCGTGCAAAAGAAGTATATTCAGTCTCTTATCTTATCACGGTCTTAACATATCCGCAATTTTTCGATTTCATTATAAGTAGTTAGTTTATTACTATCACCTTCATTATGACCCTTGTCTCATCCATCAAGTGAACACTCAATATTCTCATTTCCATTCTACAAACAATTTTCACCTTGTCATGGTCATTGACTTCCTCGTTATTTCCACTGTCTAAAAGATTATTAGGCAACTACTTTCCATTCTTGATTTCGGTCTTTTAGCACTAGCCTAATGATGCAATTATACACTATTGCTTAATAATAGACTGTTATATGTAAGTGATATATACAAATACGATTGAACAGCTTAAGAAATGATATCGTCGAAAAGGAACATTTTTTCGTTGCATTATCTCTTTTTTTCCTATGCCTATTTCGTCAACTACCAAACATTCGAATAAGCTTCGCTTCCTGATGAAATTATTGCTAAAGATGTCACCAAGTCTGCTGATGGAACATCGACGGCAAAATATCAGAGTTTAGGGAACACTAAACCATTGTCATCCTCATTTTGAGCTTCAAATCTTGTCCGTCATTTTATCCCACCGTGTCAAACAATGTGTGAAATCACACAATTCAAGTTAGACAAATTCCCAACTCTGACTATATTTATCAGTTCACACGTGCACGCGAAGGCAAGTACGCAGAAAGAAAGGAGAAGCGGTCGGCTATCAGCCCTGCAGAGTACATGTCTACTTCTCGGAGATTCATTATCGTTCAGCAGCATAAGAGCTCGTCAACAGTGTGACACCTGACACCGAGTAGGTGCAACAAATTTTTTCATAGTAGCCGATAGACAAAAGACGTTGCGCTTACTTCGAATTTCCGAAGCCGTTTTTACCTGACGAAAAGAACTTCAACTGTCCAGTTGGAAACAGGTAGCTACCAATTTGTTAGTGACCTGGTAAATAGGAAATTTTCACCTCCGCATGATTCCCAAAATATTTTCTATACATTTATTATATACATTCAGTCCATTTGATAAATTTGCATGGTAAAACAAAAAGACGGAATTTATCCAAGAGATGCAATGTATTCGTGCAATACATTTTAATAATTTGAACATACATTCATTTGTCAAGGTTTAGATAGAGTTGGACAAGGTGAATAAACCAAAATAATGCACGCTCCGAAAAAGAGTGGATGGTGAGGAAGAACGATACATTTCATACCTATTTTGCATTTTTTTTACGCTTACTCCCATGTCGTTTCATTACTACCGTATTTGTTACTATCTCAGTAATTTCATCTCATCCATTAATGACTTTTTTAATATCGGAATTTCATGACAATATAAAACCGTTTCTACTAATTTTGAGACGTATCTCCCTAGCTCATGAACATTATTCATATTGCCATGTAGCGTCACACACTTCACAAAATCAATAGCCTGGGGTTCGACGACACTCAACATTGATAGTTAAACTGGACTCGCTAAGCTGAAGGCACACGGTCAAGCATCCTCGCCATATGGCACGCTGTCGTGTTACGTTGCACTGCTCGTATTCGACTCTCTAACCAGTTAGTTGGAACGCATCGGTATCTTGGCACAACCATCCAAATATACTATTCCATCCGACTACGCTATCGTGTTCTTCCTTGGTCTCGTATTCGTGGGTATATAACAAGTCCGAATAATTAGTGATTGGTCAAGTTAGCGCCAGGACAAGTCATAGACTGGTGAACCCTAAGTGACAACATATCCCGACCAATCAAATATATCGAATTCGTGAGCCTGCTCTATTTTATACTTGCATATTGTTTTCATTTTGATAACATTTATGTATCCATTTACTACATTTTCCCATGTCCGACCACACTCCTAAGCTTATTCGTATTAAGCCGACTACGAACATGATCCAACTCGTGCCATATTGACCAGACAATGCAGAAACATGGTTTCTGTATGCCGAGGTATATTTTCGAGAACAGCGCGTCTCAGATCCTCATTCTGGACTTCTTGATGTCATACATTCACTGCCGCGAGAATTAAACATGTACGTTACAGCACACATATTTAATCCTGAAGTAAATTATCCTTATGCACTTCTCAAGGCCGCACTCTTGAAGAAAAGCGATCTCACAGATCGCCGGCGCCATGACGAATTGCTGCATAACACCGAGCTAGGCAGCCACTGAAGTCCTCGCACGCACGCGAGAAGTTATGGGTGCACGAACATTCGACAATGGCCTTTTCCGAGAACTATTTCTCTCGAAACTACCACAACCGGTGCAAACCATGTTGGTGACACTGCAGTCAGTCCCACTCAATGACCTAGCAGCCTCGGCAGATAAAATACTGGAGATTTCTAGCAGACACGTCTCCAACGTATATTCTGTCTGCGACAAACCAGAGAGCCAGAATTCAGAGGTGACCGAGCTGTGCAACTCTGTTAAACAGTTGCTACGATCTCGAAGTCCTAGTTCACATACTCTACAGAAACGCATCTTAGTGCATCACAGCAACTCACGTGGTTGCCCCAAAACTAAACCTAACAGGGTGGAAAACCCTGAGTGGTGCTGGTTTCATCATACTTACAGAGACGAAGCCAGAAAATGTCGGAAACTATGCAGTTTTAACAAGGACACAAACTCGGGAAACGGTCACACCGGCACATGTTCACGGCAAACGTGGCCGGCGGAAACAGCCGTCTGCTCCACGTCACGGATATTGAAACGAAAGTTCGCTATCTCGTCGACACCGGCGCAGAAGTTAGCGTTCTTCCCACACCGACAAACCAGCGCCATCATGACCCATCCTCCAATCTCCAGGCAGCCAACGGCAAGGCGATCGCGACATTTGGAAGACGGTATGCCTATCCCAACTTGGGTTTACGTAAACCTATCCACTGGATTTTCCTCCTGGCTGACGCTTCTATGCCCATCATTAGCATAGATGTGCCAAACCATTACGACCTACTCGTAGATGCTCGCCGTCGACGTCTGATAGATAACAACACAAATTTATCTATTGGCGGCACCACCTACGTAGGTCCGAGTTATGCTATCGTTAGAACCAAACAATCAGGCGATGCGTCCTACCAAGCGGTTTTGGAGAAATATCCAGAGTCGCAACGACCGCAGCATACTCTCCCGTGCATAACCAGCAATGTTATGCATCACGTCACAACCTCGGATCCGCCTGTGGCATCCGAAGTGCGGCGTCCATCCTCTGATAAGCTCAAAATGGTGAAGGGTGAATTCGACCACACGCTCGAACTGGGCATAATCAAACCTTCAAATAGTTCTTGGGCATCACCACTGCACATGGTTCCCAAAAAGGATAGCAACGACTGGCGTCCAACCGGTGGTTACCGAAGGCTTAACGCCAGAACAATACTGGCGGCTAGCTCAATTATCGAAATTCTTGACGATGTGCCTGGTAATGCACAGTTGCAACAACCATCAGTGCAACAGAAAACACGATCAGGTCGAACCATCAGGTTCTCGGAGTATCTGAAGTCGCATTCAACTTGGGGGTGTAAAATAAAACGTGCCAAATATATTCTTTTTAATTCAACATTTTTTCGGGGCACCATCTTTCGTATTTACCGGCAATGCGAAACTCCTCGTACATTTTGCCTTTTTACGTCAACTTGTTTACTACTACCATGTGATGAAAGATTTTGAAAAAAGGATATAAGCGTAAACTTTATTTCGATATATTTGTATATACATAATTCCCATTTTTACAAGGCGTTTTCATGGTATTAAAGACTCTTACTTATATTCCAGGTGCAACGAGCACTGCAGGGAACGTCAAAGTAGACTGACGACCGCGATCGACGTACAATTCGATTTTTCAATTGCCACGACACCCTAGAACAAGTTCAGACGGTCAGAGGCCACTTCACACAGTGAGCCCATCGGGAGAGTTTCACCAATGGAGAAACTACTGGGCTTCTGCTTCTGGCTGGTATCGTCTTAGGGTCCTCACGGACCCACTAGGGGGGAGTGATCTGTAGCGTCACACACTTCCACAAAATCAATAGCCTGGGGTCCGACGACACTCAACATTGATGCTGACCTTGATAGTTTAACTGGACTCGCTAAGCTTAAGGCACACGGTCAGACATCTTCGCTATTTGGCACGCTGTCGTGTTACGTTGCACTGCTCGTAATCTACCCTCTAGTCAGTCAGTTGGAAACGTATCAATATCTCTGCCCGACGTCGCAAATATACTGTCGCATCCGACTACGCTATTGTGTTCTTTCTTGGTCTTGTATTCGTGGGTATATAACAAGTCCGAATAATTAGTGATTGGCATTTGCGGCTATCAATTTCGCAGCAGGACAATACCTTAAACGGCTTGAATGATTACAGTAGCGATTAAACTGGTGTGGATGTAACAGAGCTAAACAGCTATGACAGCAGTTGATAGAGAAGCAGGAGAAAAACATTTGACTGATAACTGTTGGAATCACTGAGGCATTCACTGAATAGAAGTGGAGCATACGATCAGCATCCATGCAACCTGGATAATTCCACATGAGTCCTTTTATTTCTCCCGTGCAAAAGTTCAGTATTGATTTGGTCGCATGCGCAACACTTGAATCATGGTTCAGAAAGTACAAGGACACACAAATTACTCATTCTTTCAGGAAAAGTGGACACTACAGGTAATATTATTATTATTAGTCCCTTGGGTTCCTAGTGGAACATAGGGCTTCAGTAGCACGCCTCCAGTGACCTCTGTTCTCTGAGATCTTTTGAACCTGGTTCCACGACAGCCCACAAGCTCTCATTTCCTCCTCGCACGACCTCCTCCATGTCACCCTCGGACGTCCAACCCGTCGCTTCCCATGGGGATTCCACTCGAGCAACTGGCCTGACGCGTGATGTCCTCAGTCGGCCTTCTCAGTGCATGGCCAATCCATCTCCACTTCTTCCTGCATATTTGTTGCGTGATAGGTTCTTGGTTGGTTCGCTCCCAGAGTTCCTTGTTGCTTATTCTTCTTATTCTGGCCATCTGATCTTCAGTATCGAGACAGCGTAAGCAGTTGTTGATGAATGTCTGTAGTTTATTGGAAATGCCTTTCGTGACGCGCCAAGTCTCTGAGCCATACAAGAGCACTGACTTGACGTTGGTGTTGAAAATCTGTATCTTGTTCCGCATGCTGAGTGCAGAAGATCTCCACACTGGTTTCAGGCTAATGAACGCCTGTCTTGCTTTTCCAATTCTGACTTTGACGTCCTCGTCCGTCCCGCCTGTAGTTGAAACAGTGCTTCCTAGATAAGTGAAGGAGGTTACTTCCTTTAAGTTTCTCCCGTTGATGGTGACTGGAGTTTGTTGTTGTTGTTGATGGTGGTGGTGCGGTATCTTCATCACTTCTGTCTTCTCTATATTCACCTGAAGTCCCGTCTTCGTTGCCCTGTCTCGCCTCTTCTGTCAACTTGTTAGTTTTCGCCTGTAGATCTTCAAGTTTATGTGACATCAGACACAAGTCATCGGCGAAATCCAAGTCTTCTAGGTTATTTTCCGCAGTCCAGCGTATCACCCTCTTCTCACAGCTCCCCACTGTTTGCTGCATGATCCAGTCGACCAAATCAGGAATATCATGGGGATAGTAGGCAACCTTGTTTCACTCCTGTCTTCACTTCAAAAGCATCACTGAGCTTCCCATTGTGAATTACTTGGCTGGTATGTGGCATCTTCATATAGTTGTTGAATGAGGCTGATAAAGGTTTGCGGTATTCCGTAGTATTGAAGCAGTTTCCAAATTACCTCTCGGTCGACGCTGTCAAAGGCCTTCTCAAAGTCGATGAAGTTGAGGTTGAGTTGACTGCCATTCTATACTCTGTTCTATGATGATGCGCAGTGTAGCGTTGCAATTTGGTCCTCACATGATTTGTACTTCCTGAATCCAGCCAGCCAGCCAGCCAGCCTGTTCCGGTCGTAGTTTTGAATCCAGTGCATCCTTTAGCCTCTCCAGGATGATACGGCCTAATATTTTGCTTGCTCTGGGTGGACAGGAGAGTGATTCCGCTCCAGTTCTTGCAAACACTCAGGTCTCCCTTCTTTGACAGTTTGACAAGGTAACCCTTCACCCAATCAATGGCCAGGTACCTTCTCTTCCTTCCACACCTTCTGCAATAGTGGTGTGGTGGGAGCATGTCTGCTGCTGTTGTCTCTGTGTGTGTTTTCAGTGCTTCTGGCGGGAACCCATCTGGTCCTGCTGCTTTCCCACATTTCAGTAGCTTTATGGCACTCAGGACTTCCATTTTTGTTGGAGGATTTATGTTCACTTGTAGTTCTGTGGCTGGGCTGCAGGTGGTGGTGGTGGTGGTCGATTCAAGAGCTTCTTCAAGTGGTCGGCTCATCGTTTCCTTTGTTTCTCTTCTTTCGTAATTAGATTTCCTTCATCATCTTTTATTGGTTTCGTCTGTGTTGATCTCTTCCTTCCCAGATAGCAACCTGGTTATTTGATACAATGTTGTCAGGTCCCTGTCTCTCCTACCTGCAGCCTGTTCTGCTTCACCTGCCAGTGTTTCGTAGAGGTGTGCACTCTTCTTCACTTCTTTGTCCAGTGTAGTGTAGTGTTTTATACATTGTGCTCAGTTCCTCTTGTCGTTGAGCATCCTTGCACTGGTTTATCTTCTGCTTCATCATCCTCCTCTCCCTGCTCTATCACCTTCCATGTATCCATCGAGATCAATTCCACTCCTTATCTTCTTTCTTCTTCCTTCCTAATACGGCTGTGCAGGTTTCTTTCCACATCTCTTTCAAAGACTTCCAGTGTTCTTCCACACAGGTTTCTTCAGGGATGTTCCTCGATATCTCCCATTTTGTCTTGATGGCTGGCTGCCGTGAAGATTTCCTTTGTAGTTTCGTCCTTCACTTTCTGTTCCGAGTGTTGTACTTGAACTGTGATCTGTCGTCACCAGCTTCCTTGAAGGCTTTCCACTTGATTTGGAAGGCAGGTTCCTTGCACTGGATAGTGAGTGGTCTGAACCTACATCTGCTCCTCTTCTTCACCTTGTGTTCAGTAGACTGCGTCTCCATTTTCTTCACATTGAGATAAAGTCTATTTGATTTTTAGTGTAGTGTGTCCTAGTGTCTGGTGAAATCCATGTCGCTGGCTCTGTGGATATCCTTGTGCTTGAACACGCTGCCTGACTCCAATCACCAAATCGTTGAATGCACAGAATTCTGCAGACAATTCTCCATTCTCGTTCATCACCTCACCGAGCGCTTCTCGACCCATGCTTAGTTCTCTTCCCGTGTTGTCCGCTCCCAGTTTGGCATTCATGTCGCCCATTAGAATGGATTTTGATATCGCCAACTGAGGTGGTGTCTTGTCCAGTGTTGATTGCAGTTGTCTGTAGAATTCCTAATTCTTCTCTTGCTCTGCATTATTTGTAGGTGCATAACGTTGCATTGTATGATTGTGACCTTCCTTCCTTTTGATTTGAACCTTTCTGTCATGAAGATGATTGTGGAGGAGATTGGTTCCCACTGCATGAGAGAAAGCCTTCGATGCTGTCGGGGACATCATGATAGCCACTCCATAACTCAGTGTGCTGGTGGTTGTCGTCTGTGTGACAATGTCGGAGTAGATTATTGACTCTCCAGTTGACAGTTTGGAGAGTCCGTTCCCATTCCACCTGCTTTCTCAGATTCCTAGCACTCCAATACTATACCTTTTCACCTCCTTTGCAATCTGGGCAGCCTTGCTGGGTGCGGAAATTCCATGTCCCATGTTTACCTTCGCTTTCATCGAGAGAAGACACATCGGTTAATTGGCTTCGTGAAGGCTTCCGCCAACTGGCATCATTTCGCCTCTCCGATTCCAGTGAGGAATAATTTTGTTTTTATTTTTTATATATCGTTTGTGCTTTGAAGTTTCTTTAGCGGTTAGATTTGTTTTACGGTGTAGGGTTGCTAGCCCTATACCCAACTTTCCGTCTTTACCCGGTTTTAGGACCGGCTAGTAAGTAGTGAACTAGTTAACCAAGCGAGGTTACTACAGGTAATATCTGGTACTTAAATTCCATACTGCCAGGGAATTCTAAGGATTTCGCCTTCGATGTAACAGCCAAAATACCGTCAGAGATACTTAAAGGACATCCATCTCTCCTTTGGACTACATCTCGGCGTTCGAATATTGTGGAAAAATCAAGAGATGGCTAGGTTAAACATGTCTGCCCTGTCAATGAAGAGTGTGGATATTCTAAACTTCCATCGATGATAGAAGACCAATTCGAGTGTCATATTTCTGTCTGTAGCTGACAATCTCCTGCAGATGCTAATATAAGTGCCCGCGTTTCTTATAGGACCCAACAGTGCCCAAACTTAACTTCCCAGGAAACTATAAATAAGTGTCGAAGATAAATGAACTTGAAGCACGATTCAGCAGTGGTCAAAACACAAGTCAGTCGGTGAGACGAAGTGTGTTTTATCATCATTATTGTCTACTGACTGTACAAGCAGAAATAATGGTGAATCAAAACCAACTTCAATATACGGGAATTGTGGTGGCTGTCACATTGTGCAGTGGTTTCCGTTCAGTGTATGAAAAGTTATTGATAAGGTCATCAGCAGGACCATTGTGATGATAAGCGCAAAATTAACCACAGCTGTACCCAAGGAACACAAGCAGCAAGAACTGCGAATCGGTTGCAGTAATGGCCCTACATAGAAGCGAACCAACGTCGCAACAAAATGTCTGTAAAAGCGGGGGGACAGAGGGTTCGTAAACAACTTGCAGCAACCTCATACATAGCGCCTATCAGGAAATACACATGGCAGCGAATATGTCCTCCGAAAATTCGCCTAACTTTTCAGCTAACTCGCGGTGTTAGGTGATCACTGGCACATTATTAGTGAAGTCCATTGTTCGGTTGTGTATGGTATTGTGATATCTGGTGGAAAACTATTTGTGACAAACCAACCACTTTCAGATCCTCTTGCCTAAGAGTGGATAAAGGAACTGAAGCTGCTCGTAAAACCACTAAGCCTCATCTCAAACTAGACTAAAGTCGTGAAACAAAAGCAGTCTACCATGTCATTGTATGTTCTTCCGAAACCGGCATACA